ATGTGGGTTCTCCCAGTTAGTACTTTCTCACCATATCTCAAGCACAGATTGACATCTGTTACTATATTTCTGTAAGGAAAAAAAGAAAATTCATTCAGAAGCTAAAATATAATTGACAGAAGCTTGAATCTAAAACAAGAAAAATCTATAATTTCAAATTGTTTTTGCTGCTAACTAGAAAAATTGGGCTTTCTAGCCACATATTTGATCAAGATTGTTTGATTACAGTATTTATAGATTCTAAGCTATCTTACATTGATTGCTGAGTCAGGATTTTGATTTGATGAAGAGGCTATGGAGAGGTATCATTTTGTAAAACAAATTCACTCAGAATAAAACATTTTTGTGATGGAGTAAAAGTATTCACAATCAAATCCTCATAGATATTCATTGACTTATAATAACTAATACCTACTGAATGTTCAATATGGTCTGAATGCTATGTTTCATCTGTATTCTTCTGGTATATTTCTTCTATAATCCAAAAGATATTATTATTTGTACTTTAATATGTGAGAAAATGAAACAGGATTAGAGCAATTAAGAAATTTGGCCAAAGTCACACAGCCGGAAAGTATCTGAACTACAGTTTGTGCTATTGTTCAAAAAAACAAAGAAATGTGAAATTCTTGGACCATTCAAATTATCTTCAGTGTTACAAAGAACAGGTAGTTTTTCTTAGTGGCAGAGAGTAAGGGATTTGATCATAGCACCAGTAAAGGTAGAGATGTGAGCAGGCCTAACAGTAATACCTCCTGACTACATTTAGTCAAGGATGTGTCAGAGAATAGTAAAAATTAAGGTTGGGTGGAAAAGGGACCCTGTTTTGGTGGGCACTGGAGCAAAAGAGTTTGGATTGAATATATTTTGCCACTTCTCACACTATTCTACCAGAGTACCCCTAAGACATAAAAGCATGAACTCATATTTGTAGACTATGAGGACATATTAAATCATAGCTTTCAGTTGCAAATGACAGAAACTCACTTAAATAAGCATGGGCAGAGTAGGGAAGAAATATATTGGCTCACGTAATTGGGAAATCTAAGGGTACAGCTCGTTTTAGGTGTATCTAGAATCTCAAAGGCTGTTAGGGCTGGCATGCTCTTTCCCCTTCCTCCCCACCCCTGTCCAGGACAGACTCTTCCATCCGTCTGCAGCCCTATTCTCACACTCTATCAATTTAGCAACTCTGGCAGCAAATCTTTTCTGTTAATTGGGGCAAAAAAGCTTTAGAGGAAGATTTAGAGCCATATACCCATTTGGTAACCAGTCACAGTGGTCAGGAGATGGGCTGTGCTGGCTGGTCTAGGTCATGTTCTTACTCTTGTAAATAGGAAGTGAGGTACTGGGTCAGCTCTGCTTAAACCATATGGGATGTATTTCTCAACAGAAGGATCTTTATCAGAGGAAGGAGCAGGGAGAGTTTCTAGACAAAATTAATGAAGGATATATAATCTAGTACAAGTTAAAATATCTTTGAAATGGTAGATTTTACCTTTGAAATTCATATAAGCTTTGTCTGAAATGTCTGTTGTAATATTTTTAGAATGTTCCATGCTGTGGATTAAGTTTGCCTAAGATTTCCTGGGGGGATTCTGAGGGGTAAAATTTGAATTCAGGAGGTTTTATTGGGGCATGCTTTTGGGAACACCTATAAGGGATAAGGAAAGCACGATTGAGCAAAGGGAAATGTTGAACTGTGATGCAGATGCAGCAGAGGCCTCAGCTGATCCCACAGGGAGCTCAGAATCTGGGGTGCTTCTTCAGAGATATCCCGAATTGAAGCTAAGAGGCCTGACCTGTGTACTTCCGCACAGACCAGTGACTGGATATAGGTTACTCCAGAGAGGATGTAACTTTGACAAAGCAGCTTCCTTTGGCCCAGGGCAGTTCCTGAGGAGGGTTAAGGAACGAGCCTTTAGCACACATCTCTGGCCACTAGTGGAAGAACACGCTGTTCCTGAAACAGAGGGCAGCTTACTGCAGCTTTCATTATGTTCATTCCAGGAAAATGTGACGTGTTTATATGTTGTTTTATTAATATTTTATTTTATTATTTTATTTTGTTTGATGGACAGGGTTTCTCCCTGTTGCCCAGGCTGGAGTGCAGTGCTGTGATCTTAGCTCACTGTAGCCACAACCTCCCAGATGAAGTGATTCTCCCACCCCAGCCTCCTGAGTAGCTGGGACTACAGGCAAGCATCACCAAACTCAGCTAATTTTTGGGGTTTTTTTTTGGAGAAACCAAAAAAAAAACCCCAAAATTTTCTTGTTGCCCAGGCTGTCTCCAACTCCTGGCCTCAAGAAATCCTTCTGCCTCAGCTTCCCCAAGTACTGGGATCGTAGGCGTGAGTCACTGCACCTGGTCTGGAATTTTTTTAAAAAAAGCATAGGTTTATAAAGATGAGTTTATTCATCATGATTTCAGCTTTTTTCATAATGTTATGATTTATGAGCTCCTGGATAAACAGTATATTGCTTCTGTGGGATCAGCCTTTGGGTGATAAGGGAGAATATGGCAGAAATAACGGGTTTCCAAGTGGGCATGTGTCAGCCCTGCCCCACGCTCCATTATGTTTAAGGAAAGGAGGGTGGTTAGAAGGCTGATCCATTTATACATACTTGATTTTCTCAGGCACTAAGGTTGCGAACCAGCTCATTTGATGTTGGTTGAATATTGTTGACCTGTTTAATACTATAAGTAATTCTTTTCATCTGTGTGGTATTAGAAATGTATTTCTTTGTCTTTTTTATTTTATTTTACCTACCTATCCACCTGTTGACTGAGACACTTAAATATAATGTGAGCCTGGGTCGAAGATTTATTTTCCTAAACTGCAGAGTATGTGTTTCTGTGTGGCAGATAAGATGCCTCTTCCCAACTTTCCTAGGGGATCCTGAATTTAGAGGAGAAAATGGATTTTTCTCTGAATATTACTCCCTCTGATTGAGCTTCCTCTTATTAAAGTTGACTTGATAAGGGCTATTAAATAGATTTAAGTGTTTAAGCATGCATAGTTGAAAGTATCTTAATTAGTTAAGAAGTATTTACTGAGCACCTACTGCCCTATGCAAGGCACTATTCTGGAGATACGTGAATCCCATCAGTAAACAAAATACAAAAATATATATATCTTTTCTTTCCTAAAGCTTACAAGCCAGCAGGAATTGGTAGACAGTAAACATAAGAAATAAGTACATCCTATAGACCACTAAAAGGTAGGACGAGCTATGGAGAAAGAAGTAGACTAGAGGAATTGCTAGTGGCTGAGGATGGGGCTTGGAATTTGGTCAAGATAGACCCCACTGAGAAGATGACATTTGCACAAGTGTGTAACAGACGTGAGGTGATTCAGTCTGGATATTTGAGATGTAAAGCACTCTAGGAAGAAGGTGGCAGCCAGTGTAAATACTGTAAGGCTGGAGTAGGAAGAAATAGTAGATGAGGCAAGGTGTGGTGACTCAAACCTATAATCCCAGTACTTTGCTGAGGCAGGAGGATTGCAAGCCCAGGAGTTCGACACCAGCCCAGGCAATGTAGTGAGACCCTATCTGTACAAATACAAAAAATTGGCTAGGCATAGGGGTGCTCACCTGTAGTTCCAACTACTTGGGGGGCTAAGCTGGTAGGATTACTGAAGCCCCAGGAAGTCGAGGTTACAGTGAGCTGTAATTGCATCACTGCATTCCAGCCTGAACAACAGAGCAAGACCCTGTCGGGAACAAAGGAAGGAAAGAAAGGAGGGACGAAAGGAGGGAGGGAGGTGGGGGTGAGGGAGGTGGTAGGGGTGGGGGTGAGGGAGGGGGTAGGGGCGTGTGAGAGCGAGCGCCCGAGAGCACAAGGTGGGAGGGAGGGGGAGGAAAGAAAGAAATTCAAAAAATAAATATTTCAAATTAAGTATTTATTATTCTCATATAAAACAAGCTAGGTCTCATACAGTGCATTTAAAGAGTCTTTTGATCAGCGTGAGGATTAGGGAAAAATTTTTTTTAACTCATTTTAAGTGCAGGCAGGCAAATAGCTCAGCAAAAAGTAAATATATTAGGGTTGAGTTATTGTGAGTAGAAATGGTGAAATTCAGAATTAATATGTGATTATATTTTAGCCATCAAGATTTTCTTAAAGTTACAAGTGTTGAATTGATGCAGTTTGAGGTATTTTTATCAATTAAAATTTACTCATTAAATGACTTGATAAAGATATATTGAGCATCAGCAAGTGCTAGTGCTTGTGTGGCCTCTGAAGATGGTGTTCTGCCTGATGAAGTCTAGAGGGAAGGCACTAATATGTATAAAATTGCAATGTTAATAAGAGCTATAGAGGTATAATGATGCTATAAAATTTTTAAATAGGAGGATTTTGACTTATTCAGGGAGGAAGGAAAGGCTTCTCTGAAAAATTGGTGATTCTATTATGTCTGATATTTGAAGGAAGAATGAAAGTAGACAATGAAAGAGACCCGCCATGGGATGAGGAGAGGAGAGTGTCCAGGATGATATCACTTCAGATGCCCCGGCAAAATACGATGGTGCTTAGAGTAAGGGATTTGTAGTGGAGATGAAAAGAAGAGCACTTAAGTAATTAAAAAAAAAAAAAAGTAGGGTTGGTGGGGCGGGAAGTAATATCCATGTGATTTAATGATGGATATTTAAGATTAAATAGGGATGGTGGTGAGGGAGAAGGAATTGTCAATATAGCTTAGAAACTGAATTGATATTGTTGCTGAAGGTTCAACCACAGCAACAGTATTAAGGAAATAAGGAAAGGAAGTACATTTCCTTTCACAAGGCCTGAGAAGAAATTATGAGCAATATCAGTAAAATGCATCCTCAGGGTTCTATTTTAATTGGCCCTAGAGTTTACAGAGCAATAGATTCTGTACTATCTCTTTCAGTGACACTTGGGTATATGTCTTAATCTGAAGGTATGTGTTAGGAATTTTAATTTGAGAAGGTAACTTAATGAAATTTTTATGCCTGTTTCATTTTAACCGTAGAATCTTAAGAAGATTCAAGAAATGGAAAAGAGTGATGAATCTAGCACAGACCTGGAAGAGCTGAAAAATGCTGACTGGGTAAGAGCTGGATATGCTTTCTGATCTGTGTACTAAGAAATAGTACATATATATATATATATATATTTTT